CCCCCCCCCCCCCCAGCTCCTGCCGCCGGGCTCGGCTTGAGTCCCCTCCCCTGCTAGTAAGCGCTTAAGAAATGTTTGTATCCATCTATCCTTTCCGATTCCTCTTCCGCCCCAGGGGCGACAACTAACGGGGAGCGTCCCTTCCCTCCTGCCCACTAAATTACTTTGTATTTTCTTGGTGAGGCGCGTGAGCTCCTTGAGAGGAGGCACCGCCGTGGTTGGCTTTGGGTTTCGCCTTTCTTTGTATCTCCAAGCGAGCGCTTAGCGCCGCGGCGCTTAATAAAGGCTAGTTGACTGACTAACCGACCTGCTAGCTGTTTGCCCTAGTTCGTTAAGGGCAGGGTTCCTTTTGGGGGGGGTGTATCCCCTCAGAGCACATTTTATAAGTGTTTTTCTAGTTGGAAACTGGCAAGCAAGGCTTGATTAAGACCCTGCTATGTGCTAAGCCAGGGGTGGGGAACCTTCGGCCTCGAGCACTTGAGGACCTAGAAGGCCACAAACAGGTTCCCTGTGCTAAGTTCTAGCCATATTAAGGGGGAAAAAAAGTGGGGAGAGAGAGCAGTCTGCCTTGGAGAAGATTACGTTCTAGATAGAAATTATTGACAAAATAAATACAGGGTAGTTTTAGGAATGGAGCGAAAGGTCAGGGAGTGAAAGATTCGTTGTCATTCAGTCTTTTCAGTTGGATCCACCTCTTTGTGACCTCAGTTGGGGTTTTCTTGGCAGATACTGGAAAGTGTGAAAAGATAGGGAAAAAGGCGAAAGATACATTGAATGATAGATACAGTGGGTTAAGCGCTACTAGGGTTCAAATCTACCTCTGATGATTAATTACCATGGGTGTGACTTTGAAAGTCACTTCATTTTTCTGGGCCTCAGTTTCCCCTCCATCAAATAAAGGTTTGGGACTAGATGTTCTCTAGATAAAGAGCTGAGACCCTAAATCACTTCCTTGAAAAGCCTCTGCCAAAAATGAGGCAATTGGACCAGATGGCCTTTGAGGGCAGGTCCACGGACCCCGATCCTATAAATCTGAGTCCCCAGACTGGCAGTGGCACACACTGGAAGGGGTGCAGAATCCCTCAATAGCTCCTTGCAGACCACCTCTAGCTTTAATTCACATCACTGCTCTCCTCATCTCCCCCCTCTGCAGGATCAACCAATCTGGTGGCTGGGGGATCTGTAAAAAGAGGGGGTAGGCTAGGTGACCACTATGTCACTATGTCCCAGGGCCAGGCCATGCTCTCACAAACCTCCATGCCCTTGTACCCCGCCAGTTCCTAAGCCTAGAACATTCAGAGTCCCAAATCCTGGCCAACCTTTGAAGTCCAACTCCATCCGCTACTACGTGTCCTCCAGAAGACCCTTGGCCTCTCTGCCTGTTTTTGATTTCATCCAGCCAGGGCACTACAGATTCTTCCAATCACCCAGGTCTTCAAAGCCAAACAGGAGCTTGGGCTTTGGCCAGAGAACCCAGGAGAACTCCAGAGGCAGCTGGGCGGCCAGAGAATAGAGCAATAAGGAAGCCCGGAGTTCAGATTCACTCTCAGACACTCACTACCCGTGTTACTTAACCCTTGCCTCAATTTCCTCAACTGCAAAATGGGGATAATAATATCACCTACCTCGAAGGGTTGATGTGAGGATCAAATGAGATCATATTTGTAAGCGCCTGGCACACAGTAGATGCTTAATAAATTCTTATTCTCTTCCCTTTCCCTTCATTGTGGCCTTAGTTGAAAAGATTAGATCGCTTTCTGTCTCTGGGTCTCTTTGCTCGTCTGTGAAGAGAAGGGCTTAGCTTCCAGGGGCAGCACTTCCCAAAGTACTTTGGTTATGGAATATTTTGGGTTCAGATTTGTTATTGGTCAGTCATATCTGACTCTCTGTGACCCCATTGGGTGTTTTCTTGGCAGAGATACTGGAGTGGTATGCTATTTCTTCTCCAGCTTATTTTATAGATGAGGAAACTGGGGCAAACAGGGTGAATGCCACTCCTCTAGCTCATTTTATAGATGAGGAAACTGAGGTAAACAGGGTGAAGTGACTTGCCCAGGGTCACAGAGCTAGAAAGCATCCGAGGCTGGATTTGAACTCAGATCTTCCTGATTCCAGGCCTGGTGCTCTATCCACTGAGCTACTGGCTGCCTGTTCAGCCACTCTGATTAAATCCCTGAATCCTCATCTGTGAGATCAGAGGGAGGAGGAAGAATAGAAGACCTGGGGATTGAGAGAGGGGACGGACAGCATTTCACATTTAATACTTGATGAGGAAAATGTCACAAGCATCAGACTTTTCTTCTGGAGTCCACAATTCACATTACATAGTTTTTTCTCCATGGAACACTCTGAAAAACACAGGACTTGGGGCAATGTGGTGTAGATGACACTGGATTTGAAACCAGAAGACCTAGGTTTGAATACTGGCTCTGATAGGTACTACCTATGGAGACTTGGGCAAATCACTTGCCCTCCCTGGGCCTCAGTTTCCTCATGTGTAATATCAGGAGGTCTGTGAGGTCCCTTCCACTCAAGGCCCTGCCATCTCCAAGACCCCTCCCTTCTAGCCCTGAGGTTCTCCCACCCTCTCCATTCCCCAGGGGCCAGCCTCAAAAGAAGATTTTGTACCCATTCCTGCCTGCTGGGACCTTTTTCTCTGAAAGGCAGAAGGGCTTTTGGCCAAATAAACATCCAACATCATCCCAGCTCATGAAAGATGGTGCACTTGTCTGACGGTCCCAGGATTCACCTCTTCACAGGAGGCAGTTCCAAAGGGTGAATTTAGGTCTAGGGAGATGTCATGGAAAGAGCCTCTGGACTCCCTGTTCTCATTTGACATGTGACGTTGCATAAGTCCTCTGGGCCTCAGTTGCCTCATCTGCAAAATGGGCATCACAAACCCCCCTGCCCTGATTATCTTGCAGGATTTCTGAGGGGAGTCTATGTGGAAGCTTCTGAAGGATTCCATGGAAACATTTTCCTAAAGTGTAGGCATTTTGATTATTTTATTATCTTTTTATAGTTTTAGATATTTTTATTATATTTTATTATAGTTGTTTCCCCAACTAGACTCTAAGCTCTTTGGGGGGAGGGGAGGAAACTGTCCTCTGGCTGGCACACTGTCCAATGGATGGTACACACTCACTTGGGCCCCATTCAGCGTTACCCACATACTCCACTTTGTTGGGTGGATTATAAACCCCTTTACTGTGAGGCAGGCAAAAAGATCAGCCCCAGACCTTCACGACCCTTCAGGTCTCATCTAGGCCTCTGAAGCTGTTCTCCAGATTTGTGAAAGCCCTCTACTCCCAGCATTAGCTCGTATTTCAGAGCCTATATCATAGCATTTAATGAATTGTTTTCATTACCACCATGAAGCCAAAGGGCCCAAAGCTCAGCCTGTATTACAGGGTCAGGAAGGGGCTGAGAGAAGCCAGATCTGATGAGGTGAACCTTGACCAGTGAGAGCATCTGCACAGCATCCATCTGCAAAGCTTACCCCATACAGTGCTTACATCAAGTGCCATCTCTTCCCAGAGGCCTCTGGACCTCCCCATTCTCTCCCCAATTATGGTACTCACTGTGGGAACCATACCCCCAATTTGGCAAATTGTCATGTTATATTTGCTCACCTGACAGTACCTGGTTTTCTTGTCTGGACCATGGGCCCCTGAGGGCAGAAACCACATCTGATACCTTGTTGTCTGTCCTCGGTGCCTGGCAAAGTTCGAAGCATACAGTAGGAACTAGATAAATGTTTTGAGGCAGTTTAGTTCAACACACCTTATTATAGGTCCCCTCACACCAAGTTTTCAGAGACCAACTCTTTTACACACACGACATAGCAGGCATAGAATCCCAGACTTGGTACATTTAGTCCAACCTTTTCCCCTAAACATGAACCCTGCTTGCAACATCAAGTTAGAGGTTTGAATTCAGAAGGCCCTGGTTCAAATCCCATGTCCATACTATCAGAGTTATGTGACTTTAACCTGTCTAGGTTTCAGTTTCCTTTTCTGTAAAATGACTAGATTACCTCGAGAATCCCGCTAGCTGTAGATTTTATTGTCCCTGACCTGTGGTCTTCCAGTGTCTACTTGAAGACCTCCAGTGATGGGAGTCTCATTACTTCATCAGAGTTCCATTCCATTTCTGGATAGCTCTGATTGTTTAAAAGCTCCTCCCTAGAACCATCCGCCTCCCCACCCCCACCTCCTGCTAGGGCCAAGTAGAACAAACTTTCTGTGCGAAATGGAAAAAGGAAGAATCTGGGGAAGAAGACAGTTTTCACTGGTGGGCAGAGGAAAAGCATGTAACAGACTTAGCGTCTTTGGCACTCCGTCTGAGAGGAACCCCTCCCCCCCCAAAATAGACTGTCACAAACTTCCCCATAATCAAAAATCATCTTCCCACGAATTCATTTGAGGTGAGGTGGGAACAGAAAGACCCCAGGGAACAGTCTGTTATTACTGGGCTCTTTTCTTTTTAAAGAAGTTTTATTTATATTTAT